TATTGTTTGAATGCATAACTTTGTGAACCAATCATTTTCAAAGAAATTAGTTGAATTTTAGGCAACTTAATCAAATAAATTATTATAATTAAATCATTGAATATGATAATCAACAGTTGTGCATTGTGTGCGTTGCAGACAATATAATACAAGTTTCGTATTAAGGAGAAATAGGAAAAAATTATTCAAATCATCCATAAATTGTAAAATAAGTGCGTCAAAACATATATATATATATATATATATATATATATATATATATATATATATATATATATATATATATATATATATATATATATATATATATATATATATATATGGGGCCCAAGGCTATATATATATATATATATATATATATATATATATATATATATATATATATATATATATACACACACACACTAGCCGTATATCCAGGATCGGTCCAAACATATATGGGGCCTAAGGCAAAAAGAAAAAAATGGCCCTCAAAGACAAATATTATAAAGATTAAAAAAAATATATCATTTACTCTTCAATATAGACGTGTTCAATTAACACTAACAAGCAAACTAAGTTGTTTATCTTTGGAACTAATTTGAGTTTCAACCAACTTTTGGCCTTAAAAATCAGTTAGATAATAATTTTTTTTTTTATATATAAACTACATAGCCCATAAATTTTGGCCCCTGGAGTCGTGGGTCCTGGACGGTCGCTCAGATTGCCCACCGTTTGGACCAGCCCTGCGTATATTCGCGTTAAGCGACATATGTGAATAATTTCTGCAAAGGATATTATTTATTTTTTTTTCCCGAAAATGAGAGTAAAATGCGGTGGTGAGGGTTAGAGTTTACTCAAAAGTTGTATACTTTGGAGATAAAACATCTTAAGTTATATGAGTAATGGTTCCATTATTTTAATTATTTAAATTGGCACCAAAAGGCCACTGGCCTAACGGTATGGAGTGACCATCTCATATAAAAGATCTGGGGTTCAAGTCTCGGTGAAGACATAGATAGTTATTTAGGAGTAGATTAGTTAGTGTGCCGTTTCAAAAAAAAAAAAAGATTTAAATTGGTCGTTTTGCAACCAAGACAACAATTTCTAGATGTATGGAAACATTGTTTTTTCGTTACATTGCTTCCTTTCAACGAATAATTTCCTTTATATATATATATATATATATATATATATATATATATATATATATATATATATATATATATATATATATATATATATGTTGATATTTACGTTTTTAGTCATATTTTAGGCATTAAACGAACTAACAAATAACATAAAAATCCATCAACTTATATTTTGATACTATTTAATATAGTCAATATCTTATAAACTTTACTTTTACTTTTATAATATCTAATATATATTATAAGTTTTTGTATAACATTAATATAATCTACTTTTCTTATGTCCGATAATATCTTCTATAATAAATGAAAGTTATTTTTGTCACTTGTCACACTCTCATTCATTTTGCCACATGTCATTTTGTGGTTATTTTGAATTAATTTTTATTCCATATGTAATTTTGTGGTTTTCCTATTTTATTAAATTCCATATGATATTTAAATTTAATAATAAATGTATATCAATTTCATTAATGGACTTTCCTTATAATTTCAAAATTTTAAAATAAAATCTCATTAATTTGCTTGGATTATTTTATCTAAATTTCATAGGTTTCCTTTCAAACCTTGCAATATTGACTTCTAGAATTCTTCCTCTAAGTTTGATTCCTTGTAGGGTCTTCTCCAACTCTTGTTCGTCTCCATTCTTCTTGAATCTTACGAATGCAATTTTTTTTATTGACATCTCTTTTTGTCGCCATGTATATGTCAACCACCTCTCCATGTTTAGCAAAGATATTCATTAGGTTTTCCTTCCTTGCTGTCTTTGGAAGGTTAGTCACAAACATCAACGTAAACCTAGCATGATTCCATCGTGGTCGATCTCTGATCCGCAATAGCTGTTTCCATCTTCTCATTCTCACGTCCGTCCATTCTGTTAGAAAATAGGGGATGAATAGATTGTTTGGATTCTCTGAAAGTTGTGATTCACTATCAAATTGAAGTATTTCGATGGTACAGATCGAACACTCAATTGGATGAAATTCAGATAATGAAATCTGAGAATGTATGTGAAAATGTTCTTCAAGATGTACGAGAAAAATGACCAAAAAACGGATATATCATTGCTGTCTGAAAATTGTCAATAGACAGTTACAAACTATCATAAAACTACCAAACCTGTCATTAAACGGATCTCAGGGAAAAAAGGGTCAACTTTCTAAAATTGGATTTCGATCCTAGCCAGGGGCTCTGCCCCTTAGACCTCGCCAAGGGTGCTGCCCCCGGACCCCCGTTCGTTTAGTGGCTTCGCCCCTAAAGAACAATGTATTTTGAATCTTGAAAAACTTGAACAAGTGTGCACTCATACACAATCATAACTTGTTCAATATTCAACAATATCACTTTTGGTTAACAAATTTAATCATATTACACTTAAATAATATTGATGATATATAAAATCACCAACACATTCCCCTTCCATCGATCTCCCTTGTGATGTTATTTTATACTATCTAACTTGATATAACACGTCAAAGGTCCACATCAACATTCATCACCACGTCTATGTAAGCAAAGTTTCAATCAACGAATCGTAAATGATTATTCTTGGTTGTTCAGAATAATTTCAATCAACAAATCGTAAATTATTATTCTTGGTTGTTCACTTTATTTTATTTTTTCATAATACATTAATTTCTACAAAAATTAATAAAATATTTATTTAAACTTAAACATTCCATTCAACTTTTCTATTAAGCTAATACCATTCAGAATATAGTGATTTCTATAAATTTAATAAATTAGAAAATAATTTTAATTTTTATATAACTTTATTATTGAGCTACTACAACTTCAAATCCATTAAATATCAACTAAATATTTAACCATTTTAAATAAACTAGTTATTACAAAGAAAAAATGACTCAAGAGGATGGTTTATCTTATTCATATTTGATCATCTTTTTTATATATCATATACCATCTAACTTATTATTTGTGTTCATAATATACCATTACGACCGGTTGTTGTAAGTTATTGCTTATTTGGCTCTTACATAGCAATATGTGTGATCTATGTGACATATTAAAGTCAAGCGGTATTGTTATTAGGGTTGTTATACTTCATTCTCCTTAATTTTTTCATAAATCGACGACAATGGTTTCTTCTTCTTCTTCTTCTTCTTCTTCTTCTTCTTCTTCTTCTTCCAAACGATGTGTAAAATTTCAACCTAAACATCCTTGTGATTATGGGTTACCATCTTGAGTGGGGACTTTACGGACTAAGATAACCCTAGAAGAAAGTTCAGGTTATACCCTAACTCCACGGTAAATCAAATGTTTTGATTTTTTGGTTTAATCTTCTTCTTTTAATTTCATTTTTCAAAAATGAAGGTAAAAAATATAAGTTTTGGCAATGGGTGATTCTTGACAATCCTAAAATAGGTGAAATGGAGTCTGCAACCTTACTTACCTTGATAGTTTCTACATTAAAAAACAAGATTAGAATACTTAAGATGAAGATGAAACAAGAAAATTTAGTTGTTAGATAAACTTAAATGGAAGTTGTTTACTCACAAAGTTGTGTTGTTTGTATGGTATTTTGTAGTTTGATGTATTACAAAAGCTGTATTTTGACTAAATGTTGTATTTTTTTTTTTTATGTATTATGACTAAACCGTGTACTCTCAATGAAAGTTTAATGTTTTCATTGTTTTCAAACAATTACTAATGTATCAACAAGAGGTAAAATCGTCAAACTAAGGATGACTTGGACCAGATTGACCAAGCTAACTAGAAGTGTATAACCAATTTTAATAAACTAATAGCAGTCAACATCATTACCAATTCTCCTAATACCTTTCGCCAATCTTTTACACAGTATCACAACTCCTGTTACTCAACTTTTGAAGGAACAAAACAAATCTTTAAGATTCATTCCACCAAAATCGACATCACGGATTGAAACTATAACAGGGTTCAAGTACACTAATGGTTTTGGTGCGAAAAAACCTTGATAACGATCATCTACTGTTAAGTACTTGTAGATGAATCGGAGGCCATCTTCTTGTTTACATATTACAGTCGACTTCAATTAGTGTCTTCAGTTTCAGAACCCTAATCTTCAATTGGCATTACGGGGCGTAGAAAGGGGGTTGAGTTGTTTGTAATCTTACATCATGAACCCTAAATTAAAGAGAAAGGGGTGAAGTTTTTTTAAGGTCAGATGATAAGACATGTCAACATAACTAATCGATGTCATTGAAAAAAACCAACAAAACAGGTTATAATTGATTAAAATGTATATTACGAAAATAAACATAAATGTATATGATATATGATGTACAAAAAGAAATAGAACTAGTGTAAACGAAATTAATAGAAAAATGTTCAAGAATGAAATTAGAACTTTCGAGTTTGTTTTGTACTTATTAGTAAATATATTTTTTATTTCTACATATCACATTATTATTTTTAGACCATAACAAATGTAATAAAAAATTATTAATTTTATTAATTACCACACAGTACTAAATGGTAAATGCGTAGAAAAATAATAATAAAAAAAAATTTTCTAATAAAAATAACTTTTTTTTTTCTATGTGAACCGAAAAAAATGTACAAACAAAAAGACGTAAAAAGTAAGAAAACATGACCAATTGAATGAAGCGTGTCCCGCCGTTGACCACATTATACGTTCGTCAAAGTCAACATTACGTTTTCCCTCCCTTTTATAGGGATTTTCTTGTCCCATCGTCATCACCATTCACCACCTTCATTTCTCCTCCCAACGCTTACCCACACATCCACTGTAATCCCCTTAAATATCTTCAAGATTCATCTTCTTCGATTCCTGGGTTTCTTTACACTTTTTGTTTCAAGGTTTAATTTCCCCTAAATTTCAAACCTTGTCACCAATTTTCACAATCAATGATGAAATGTTTGAGCATATTTCATTCAAAATCTTCACCGGAGCCAAAAGAAGAAAATCCTCCAAGTAAGCCAAAATCAGAAAAAAGATTAGTCAAGTCAACAGGCTCAATCTCTTCCCCAAGGAACATACCAGAAATCTACAAAGAAAAAGAGCACACCTTGACGAAATTTTCATTTTCAGATCTTAGGAATGCTACCAGTAATTTCAACAAGCTTTTAAAGATCGGAGAAGGTGGGTTTGGGTGTGTTTACAAAGCAAGAATCCGACTTTCTGAAACTCAAAAGGATCCTCTTGTGGTTGCGATTAAACGGCTTAACAAACAGGGCATGCAGGTAATTCTTAGAAAATTTTCGAACTGGGTTTTGTATTTTTCGATTACGTTTCCGAAAAGTTTAATTCTTTAAGAGATCTGTGGCGTATTTTGTGATAGGGTCATAAAGAATGGCAAACAGAAGTTCAGTTTCTTGGCGTGGTCGATCACCCCAACCTTGTAAAACTTCTGGGATATTGCTCCGTTGATGGTGATCGGATGCAAAGATTACTGGTTTACGAATACATGCCAAACAAGAGCTTAGCAGTTCATCTTTTTAGCCAAACTCTGCCACCACTTCCATGGAAAACGAGGCTTCAAATCTGCCTTGGCGCAGCCGAGGGTTTGGCTTATTTGCACGAAGGGCTGGAAATTCAGGTATCATTCACTAGTCAGCCACATACTACTGCCTCATCAGTCTCATTTTCAAAGGTTTTTGATCGCTATTTGTTGACATATTGTTTCTAATTATCGATTTCGGAAGGTGATATTTCGTGATTTCAAGACTTCGAACGTGTTATTGGATGAGAAATTCAACCCGAAGCTTTCTGATTTCGGTCTTGCTAGAGAAGGTCCTCAAGGAGACCGAAGTCATGTATCTACAATGGTAAGTCTTTTATATGTGTTACAACTTACTACAATAAATAAAACGGATTATATTTAACAACTGGTAGTGTTACTATTGATGTCAGCCTGTTGGGACTTATGGATACGCTGCCCCAGAATACGTTGAAACGGGACATCTGAAATCGAAAAGTGATGTATGGAGTTTTGGAGTTGTACTGTTTGAGATCCTATCGGGCAGGCAGGCAGTGGATAGAAACCGACCCAAAGGCGAACAAAAGCTTATCGAATGGGTCAAACTATTCCCTGCTGATAGCAAAAGCTTTCGGATGATTATGGACAAAAGATTAAACAATAAATATTGTGTGGATGATGCTAGAAGCATTGCGAAATTAGCTGTTAGGTGCTTGTATAAGAACCCTGATGACCGACCTACAATGAGACAAGTGGTCAAGGGGTTGAGAGACGTGATCAGTGACTCCCAAATTGGACTTGTATATGACAAATAGAGTCATGTTTTTGAGTCATTTGTAAAGGGTCATGTATCTATGAGTATATTGTTTTTCTAATAAAAAGTTTCTATGGTACGATACCACTTGGAGCATATGCATTAAAGCTTGTACCACGTGCATTTATGGTTGTACAATGTAAATCAACACTTCATCTTTTTGGTCAAAAGTGGCATCCTAGTCCAGCCAGCCTGATTGATCTCATTTCTTGAAAGTTTCTAATTTGATTTATTGATTGGATAATTGCAACCTTGAAAATATGTATTGCTAACAAGTGGGACGGATAAATTGAAAATAATTTAATAATTACATATTTTAGAAATTATAAAAGGACATCAAAACGTGTGGAAGAGGGATGCAATTCATTTTTATCCACGTATCCAATGTAGTCAGTTTTGTTGACTATACCCGCCCATTGATATTTTTAAAAAATGTATTGATTTTACTTTATTTTTATAGCATTCTACTTTTATTTGCAATAGGATAATGTGTTTATCAGGTTTCTACCAATGAAGCATTGTTACATGTGTTGTTTCCATGTATCTTTCATCAAAATTACATGTATTAGATAATGAAAATGAAAAAAAAATGTAAAAGCTAACCCAAAATAATACAAATACGAAAATAGTTCATAAATACATTATAATTTATATATGCATTGTACTCATTATTACACATAGTATATCCAACATATTAGATTAATGAATAGTCCTTGCATTGTCAGTTGTAACACCATTAGTAACTATTGCCATTTATCATTTTTTTGTAGACTTGTTAATGGTTAGTTATGCACCGAACTTTTAGTTAGTTTAATTATTGTGTATTCTTTATTAGGAAAATGGCACAAAAAAATATTTTTTTACACAGAAATTGGATTTTGACACCGTGTTTTTTTTTTATCAATTTTGATACTGTGTTTACCAATTTGTTACAATTTTGACCACTTGATCGGTTAACCAGGTTACATGCTGATGTGCCATGATGACATGTCAGTTTTCATGACGTGACATGCTTACATGTTATACTGACATGTCGAAATTGATTTTTTTCAACAAAAAACATTATGTTTTCAATTTTTTTCGATTTGACACTAAATTTAATTTTTTATTTTAATTTTGACATTATGTTTTTTTTGTTCCAATCGAACATCATTTATTAGATTTTGTTCAATTTTGTCTATTTTCCATTTGAAACCATATAAATATATTATTTTTATTACATTTTAAACCGTATAAACATATTTTTTTCGTTTAAAAACCACATTTTTATTTAAATACAAGGTTTTTTTTTTTTTTTATTATTTTTTTTTTAATTTTTTTTACATTCAAAGCATTAGTTATATCATGAGAATCAAAGTAACCATAAGCTTCTAATAAGATGTAAAAATTTGATGGGTTGCAAACTTGATATCCGAGTTTTGATCAACCACACGTCACCAAACCTTCAAACACATTTTAAAGTTGCATATTTACTATAAAATACAATTTTTATATAACAAATATATTTATACAGAAAAGTATGGTTTGAGTGTAAACAAAAAAAATATGTATTTATACAAAACAAAGAAAAATATGTATTAAAAAATATTTATATGGTTTTAAATAGAAAATTGTCAACATTGAACAAAATTGGAAAAAATGATGTTCGATTTGGAACAAAAAAACATAATGTAAAAGTTAAAAAGAAAAATTAAAATTAGTGTCAAAATCGAAAAAAAAAATGAAAACTTAGTAGTTTTTGTAAGAAAAAAAATTCAATTTTGACACGTCAGCATATCATGTCAGCATGCCACTTCAGTATATAACCTAGTTAACCAATCAAATGATCAGAATTTTAACAAATTAGAAAACACGGCATCAAAATTGACATAAAAAAACACGGTGTCAAAATCAAATTTCTATGTACAAAGAGTGTTTTTTGTACCATTTACCCTTTTTTATTCTATAAAATGCAACATAAAATATTTTTTACCTTAATTTGAAATTACAGAATCATCCATTAAATATGTTTTGGAGTCGGAGTATATACAACTTCCTGACTTGGTTTGTGTACAAATAAGAAGGAAGTTCTGAGTGTAAGTACTAAGTCCACTCCTTTAAAAGAGTAATTTTCCCTTGTGCTATTCTATTATAACATAATTTTGTAGAAACTTAGTCCTTATAGGGCATTGTACTTGTAAAAAAACAACTTGATTATAGAAGTGAAACTTGACAATAACAATTAAACATGGATCAACTATCTTTAAATAAATCTATTTACGTGATAATTCTTCAATAGTGTATCATGGTGATATCAAAAATTTCATCAATTTCGGTTTTATTAGATGATTTTCAATATGGGAAATATTCATGGCTTTAACATGTAAAAAGAAACCATTAATCACTCAAGAACAATATGTAATATTTCTCCTAATGTTAATTCAAATTGTAAAATTGGTTGTTAGTAATTCGTATGATATAACTGCATGTTCATGTAAAATATTAGGTACTTGATTCTTAAATACAACTCGCAAGTGCAAACACTTTTCCAAACATTCTCAAGAAAAATCTGTTAAAAAAACATCAATGCTCTGTTTAGGGCCACATTAAAGGAGACCTTGGCTGTTGTTTAAACAATAAGGTCATCCATAATGAATCTTGATCATGGCCACTTTCATAAGCTATATTTGTCATGTGAAACCCACATTGGCATTTCATTAAAAAGTGAACAACGTCTATTTAAAGAAAGCACCTGAAAAAAGAAGTTGACAGGAAAATATTTTCTTGGTTTCTGAACAAATGGCATTCTTAATTACTCCAAGTGTGTCAAAATAATCTTCTGAAGCTATAAATGCTGGTAAAAATAAGCAAAAGCCTTAACACTATATATACAAGTTTAGTTTCTAGAACTTTAAAAAATTATGTAAAATGTAGAAACAAAACCTGTAATCTTTTAATCGGATACTCCCTCGCTACCAATATTAGTCTTAACATTGCCTCTATGGAACTCAAATCATAGGAAAATAACTGTTAGGAGCTTTAAATTTCAAACTCGTAGTGAAATAGTATCGTAACAGAGCACAAATTTTGGTACGATTGAAACTTAAATAGAAGGAATTACACATTACCTGTGCAATGAATGAATATTTTGGATCTCCAGTTGACCTTAATTATTCTAATAATCAACAGTAACTTGGTATCAGTTTTGCTTTGATCGTTTACATGTCAAGTAGTAATGAAGATGATGATAATAAAAGAATAAGAAATTATTTTTCTTTTTAGAGGAATGTATCAGACCTGTTGGAGTAGAAGGGATGAAGGTGAAAACCTTGATCAACGCCCACGAAGCGCCATGGGGCCATCATTGGCAGACAAAGGGATTTGGGGTCGATGCAGCGATGAAGAGGAGGCACGGAGGAGTTGGCGGGTCGTTGGACGAGAAGGGAGTAGCCACGAGGACCGGTCTATTGATTTTAAATGCCCTGGGCGAGATATTAAATTAATGCCCTTTTATATAAAAAAGTGTATATAGTTAAAGTAAATTAAATTTTATAGCCAAATTAACTCAAGTTTATACAAACAATAACATACATAAATTCATCTAAAATTATGTCTCCATGTATTTTTTGAAACAAAACCATCTCTTAATTATGATAACCAAGAATTTGTAGAAATTGATTTTCGATACTCAAAATTGCTAATTCGTTTAATCTTTCTTGAGTTAGCTATCTGTAACCACAAAATAAACAAAAACAGCGATGAGTATAAGAACCAACATTTCAAATTTCTCATAAACTAAAATAATCTATCAGATTTTAAAAAATTAAAATAACCTATCAGATTTTCAAATACATTTCTAGAAATTAAACTAATAAAATAACACATCAGATTTTCAATAATCAGATTTTCTAAATTTTCCAAAAATCTAATGCATCAGAAAATTCAAAAACTAAAATAAGCTATCAGATTTTTATAAACAGTAGTTTATTCAGAAAACAACATATGAAATATTTTGAAATAAAAAACATACATTTTAATAAATACCATTTAATTGATAAACATTACAAAAAACAAATTAAAAAGAATAAATGCAAAACGATGACACAATTCCATAAGTTGAGGTTAACGAATTTACAGGATGAGGCAATAAGAACAATAAATGACCAAAACTAATCTGCAAGCATAGTAGAAAAGTAAGTTTCATTAGACTCACTATTTATATATGTTTTGAATAAAAATGCAATTCAAAGTTATAGTTTGTAAGTTTGTTCCAGTTTCGACGCATGAGAAAGCATGGCTAAATACTTATAGTCTTTGACTTTTTGATAAACAAAAGCATTCAATTTCATAAACATAAAACAAACCCATAAATACAGATTTTGAATAAATTACTAGAAACTCAAAAATATAATTCAAAAGTGATAACTCAGAATTTACAGGGGAATGTAAGAGAAATCTTGAGCAAACTTTTGAATGTTGTGCACAATTGGCAGTTCTTTAAAACTACAAAGATAAGTAGTCAACTGAAGCAAGAATTGATGAGGAGTTGGGGATTAATGGACTATATGAAAAGGTTATCAGATTTTCATGAGAACAAGAGATTAAGAGGGCATATTAACAATGAAATTATGAGGATTTAAATCTTTATAGGCTGAGAATATGAGAAGAAAGAGAACCGTATGTTTTATCTATTGAGATCAACAGGTATGCCCATATTTATTGGAATCGTCTTCTCCAGAACCCCATTGATAAGAATGCCTTGTCTTCTTCAACTGTAATTATTAGGCGTGCTATATTGCTTAGGATATCGAAGAGTCATGTATTCCAAATTTATTTCAAATTGCGGCCATTGTGTATTAGGTATCCAAAGCTTGTCCTGCTGCCCTCTTTTCATTTAAACCGGACTTCATAGTATTAGTGGATCAATAGTTGTAGTGGCCCAATTACTATACACCCTTAAAAGACCTAAAAAAATTGATGCCCCTTGAAATTTGATCCCCTGGGCCGTGGCCCAGCTCTCCCTGGGCTTGGGCCGGCCCTGGTAGCCGCACTCTGCAATTGATGTCGTTGGTAGGATGTTCTTTGTCGGCATCCAGTTGTTATCGATTTATGGTGCATCGTTGATCACTAAAAAGAATAAAAAGAAGCAAATGAGATGAATTTTTGATTTGGCTATTTCGATGACAACAGCATCTAGGGATTCCAATTTAATGGTGTTGGTAG